GATAAGATAAGATTTCGTTCGGATTTTTAACCCCGGAGGGTTAGCCACCCAGGATAACCCAAGAAAGTCAGTGCGTCATCGAGGACTGTCTAACTTATTTCCATTGGGGTCCTTAATCTTGTCCCCCAGGATGCGACCCACACCAGTCGACTAACACCCAGGTACCTATTTGCTGCTAGGTGAACAGGACAACAGGTGTAAGGAAACGTGTCGAAATGTTTCCACCCGCCGGGAATCGAACCCGAGTCCTCCGTGTGTGAAGCGGGAGCTTTAGCCACCAGGCCACCGGTTAAAGAGGTTAGGATTAAACGAAGAACTGAACCCTGGATGACTACTGAGATATTAGATAATATGAAATTCAGAGACCAGCTGCTAAAAAGATTTAAAGCAAACAGACAGGATATTGCAGCACTAAATGAATTCCAAAGGGTGAGGAACAGAGTACAGAGACTTATAAAAGGAGCAAAGGCAAAGCACTACTGCTCAAAAATTGAAGAGTATAAGCATAACCCCAGAAAGCTCTGGCAACAACTTAAACAGTTGGGGTATAGTCATAAACCAGTAGATAGGTCTAACATAGTACTCACTATCGATAATGAGGTATGCCACGAAACATCTAAGGTGGCAAATTGCTTTAATTCCTTCTACACATCTGTTGCATCAACACTAGTAAGTAAACTACCAGCTGCATCAAATACCTTTAACACAGATTCTGATAAGTTTCAAACATACTATACCAATAAAGGGGTAACCCCAAACAGTTGTCAACTAGTAAGTGTATCTCATGATTTTATTCAAAAAGAACTAAGCAGGTTAAACCCAACTAAGAGCACTGGCCCGGATAACATTCCGTCTAAGTTCCTAAAAGATGGTGCTTCTGAACTGTCAATCCCTATTGCTCACATAATAAATCTATCAGTCACCACTAATACCGTACCGGATGGGTTCAAGGAGGCCAGAGTTACTCCTATCTTCAAGAAAAATAGTAGGTCTGATGTAAGCAACCATAGGCCTGTTAGTATACTCAGTATAATATCCAAAATTCTAGAGAGGGCGGTGTACTCCCAAGTAGTTAAGTACCTTAATGACAACAACATTCTCCATAGCTATCAGTCGGGCTTTAGAAGATCTTACTTAACCGACACCTCCCTAATTAATCTGATGGATTACCTGAGAACTGAAATGTCAAAGGGGAACCTCATAGGCATGGTAACCTTAGACCTGCAAAATGCCTTCGATACTGCCAACCACAATATATTATGTAAGAAACTTCAAGCTATCGGTATAGGTTCTGTAGACTGGTTTAAGTCCTACCTTAGCAACAGGAGACACATTGTCAAAATCAACAAAACGGAATCAGAACCCCTGCCGATAGCATGTGGAGTTCCCCAAAGTAGTATTCTAGGTCCCTTATTATTCTTATGTTATGTCAATGACATGCATATCAGTGTTAAGTGCAAACTCCTACTGTATGCAGATGACAGTGCCCTGTTAGTGTCAGGTAAAGCCCCACAAGATATAGCTAATGTTTTAACACTGGAACTGGAGTCCTGCAGCAAATGGTTAGTAGACAACAAACTATCATTACACCTCGGGAAAACTGAAGCCATTCTCTTTGGCACGAAACATAAACTGAGAAGGGTAAATAATTTTAATGTCCAGTGTAATGGGGAGCCCATCACTTTGGTTTCATCAGTAAAATATCTGGGAATCCCCTTTGACCCATGCATGTCAGGAGAATTGATAGGGAACGGTGTAGTAAAGAAAACGAATGCCAGACTGAAGTTCCTGTATAGACAACACAGTGTCTATCTACTGGAGCTCGCAGGACCCTATGTCTAGCCCTTATACAATGCCATATGGATTACGCTAGCCCTTATACAATGCCATATGGATTACGCTTGCTCTTCATGGTACTCTGCCTTGACAAAAAAAAACTGAAAGATAGACTGCAAATCACCCAAAACAAAATCGTAAGATTCATCCTGGGGCTGGGACCAAGAGAACATGTAGACCAAGATGAATTACAGCAGTTGGATATGCTGAATGTTGAAGACAGAGTAAAACAACTGAAGCTAAATCATGTTTATAAAATTGCTCACAGTGTCTAGAATATCTTGCTGTCAATTTTGTCAAGGTTGGGAACCAAAGCAATCATAGTACTAGGGGGAGAGAGCACAACTTTGTAGTACCCACAGTCATTGGCCAGGCTTCAAACACCTTTTATTGTACAGCAATAAAGGAATGAAATAGACTGCCTGCACATGCCAAAGCCAGTCATAGCATGAACCAGTTCAAGAAGAGTGCCAAAAGGTGTCTGATGAATGTAGCTACAGAAAGGGAGGGGAATGATTTTTCTATTTTTTAGCTAACATACGTGTAAATTTTACCTTATTCCTAGTAATTGACCTTCGTATTGTAGATAGTCTTAATGACCCTCGTGTAGTAGATAGTCTTTTAGTATGATAATAAGATGTTATCCTCATTATAGAAAAATAAGAAAATATTATAACCTTTATATTATAATAATAAGGTAAAGGGACCCCAATGGAAATAAGTCACTCTGTCTGACTTTTTTGGGTTATCCTAGGTTCTCTACACATATGCTGCTATGTATGATAATTCTATGTAACTGTATTTGTGTATACCTGAATAAACTTACTTACTTTGATAGAGAGGACAGTCCAATAGAACAAGGGAAATTGAAACAGGAGCTAGACAATTCTCACAAAGTGGAACAGGATGCCTCTCCATGATACCCATGAGTTAGACGAGTGTGTCCCATGCAAAGACGAGAGTGTTGTCTCCCAACCTCGGTATCGATGACAAGGTCAGAAACCCAAACTTGGTTTGACAAATGTAATCTGAAGTTATATCAGACCAACGTCGTTGCCAACGGTTGCAAAGGTGGGTCGAGATTACAACTAAATAGTCAGAGAATGGAATACCTTTATATGGAACTGGTACGTCATGTACTGCACGTCGCACAGCAGTTTGGTACTAATCCCTCTAGAATTTTCCAAGTGTATATAATCATGTATCTTTCCCACCTACGTTCTAGGGAGTACAGGTTGAGGAACCTTAAGCGTTCCCAGTAATTGAGATGTTTTATCACAGTTGTGTGCCATGAAAGTTCTCTGTTTATTTTCTAGGTCAGCAGTTTCACTTGTCTTGAAAAGTGCTGTTAGTGTGCAGCAATATTCCAGCCTAGATAGAACAAGCGACCTGAGAAGTGTCATCATGGGCTTGGCATCCCTAGTTTTGAAGGTTCTCATTATCCATCCTGTCATTTTTCCAGAAGATGCGATTGATACAATGTTATGGTCTTTGAAGGTGAGATCCTCTAACATGATCACTCCCAGGTCTTTTACATTAGTTTTTCGCTCTATTGTTTTTGGAATTTTTTTTTTATACCAGATGTATTTTTAAATTTTCCCCTTACTTTTTTCCCATATCGGATTTAATTGGAATTTCCCACCCATTAACTTCACATTTTTTTCCCGCACCCAAATTTAAAGTTTTGGGTTGATGTCCCCCTTTGGGAGCCCTTGGGGTGTTTTTAAAATGGAGGACACTGTCAGGGGCAAATTTGGGTTTAAATCTGCAAAGGAAGATACATGCTATGGCTTACACCCCTTCTTTTTTCAGAAAATGGGGATAAAGGAACAGGATGGGAGCAAGAAACTGTCCCCTTTGGGGCCCAGAGTTTTTCCCCGTGGGCCACGTCAGATTTTTACTCTGTTTACTACTAGTCTTGTGTTTTTAATTTTTTTAGGAAATTATAGATCCACCCTACCAACTTTTCCTTTTATTCCTTTTTTCACGCATTTTGTCACCATTACATCATAGGTCCACTAGTCCCGACTTTTTCAAAGTCCGTGTATATTGCATCTTTCATTTTTGTTTGGGCTTCTAGGAGCATCCAGGACCCTTTTCATAGTGGTCCCAATTTGGGGCAGACAGGGGCCACCCCGCTTAAAAACCCCTTTCCGCCTTTTGGGTTTTTGAAACTGATGGATACAGATGGGTGGGGGATCTTTTTCCCTTTTTAGAACCTTTTCAAAGATTTTTATAATATGGGACGTTAGCACTATAGGTCTGTAGTTCTTTGATATTGCTTTACTGCCCCCTTTGTGGAGTGGGGCTATGTCTGTTGTTTTTAACAGCTGTGGGACGACTCCTGTGCCCATGCTCCCTCTCCATAGATGTTAAAAGCGCATAATAGGGGCTTCTCGCAGTTCTTATGCCAAATCAAAGTCGAGAACAACATCCAGTATTGGGTCCCAACTTAAACGAAATGGGTCCTACACAGATGACAGCAAGGAAATGAGTGAGCTACGCAAGTCGCAATATTACTCGGTTTTTAGCAAGCCGCTAACCAGACTGAGAGCCGATGACCTAAATGAATATTTTATGAGACATAGAACTCGGTAGACTCTAAACCTATCTGATATTATCATGACGCCAAATTACTTCGAAATGGCGATAAATGACATGCCCATGCACTCTGCCCCAGGCCCATTAATATTATTATTATAATCAAGGGGGAAGCGCTAAACCCGGAGGATTATACAGCGCCTGGGGGGGGGGGATATGGAAGGCATTCAGGCTTAATTCGGGGAACTGGAGCACAGATCCAATTCCCTAAATCAAGAGCCCCTCACCAACATCAAGGAACCTTCCTTGAGGGGGCCCCAGGCCCAGACTCATGAAACTCCATGTGCATCAAGAACCGCAAGAAGCCCCTATCATGTGCTTTCAACATCTTATGGAGAGGGAGCATGGGAACAGGGGTCGTCCCATAGCTGCTAAAAACAAGACATAGCTCCACTCCATAAAGGGGGCAGTAAAGCAATAGCAAAGAACTACAGACCGATAGCGCTAACGTTCCATATAAAAATTACTGAAAGGGTTCTAGGAAGCAAGATCGCCACCCATCTAGATACCCATCAGCTACACAACAGTATTTCTCTATGCAGGTGAAAACAAACTTAAGTTAATAATTTATATACAGTTTATTATCTTTTGATAGAAAAAAAACATTTTAAGAAAGAAAAATATTAATTTTACCTCATAACGAAATATCAGTTTGTAAATAATACTGCATAAACTGTTTAGCATGATTCAAAACATTATTAAAGAAAAATACTGCTAAAGAAAAATACATATATTTTACCTCACTGCAAAATAACAAACAGTACTGTTTAATATGATATAAAACACTACTCAAAATACATCCTGTTATAACCAAGTTTCATGCCACCGAAAATTAATGCAATCAATCTTCATTCCCACTTTAGAAGATTTGTACCCGTCATTCTCAACTGACACTATCATAATTTCTATGATCATCTTTATTATCAATGTAAATAGTTTCAGTCATCATCACTAAAAACACTTTCGTATTCATCAACATCACTGTAGACAATAGCAGAATCCTCCTCAGCCCCACCACTTGTACTATCAGCCAAAGGTGAAGTGTCATTTCTCTTGCCACTGCCCGAACTATGTGGTACATTTTTATCCATGCTCCCATTAACAGATGTATTGTTCTTACCACTAACTGAGGATGGGCTGGCTTTCTTACTAACATTTGCACTAACTAAAGATGAGGCATTCACACTACTTGACAAGGATGAGGTATTCTTGTTTTGTGATGTGGCATTTGCAGAAGATAAGGCATTTTTGTTTTGCGTTGTAGCATTTGCAAAAGATGTGGTATTTTTGTTTTGTGTTGTGGCATTTGCAAAAGATGAGGCCTTCTTGTTCTGTGCTGTGATATTTGCAAAAGGTGAGGCATTCTTGTTTTGCGTTGTGGTATTTGCAAAAGATGAGGCATTCTTGTTTTGCGTTGTGGTATTTGCAAAAGATGAGGCATTCTTGTTTTGTATTGTGGTGTTTGCAAAAGATGAGGCATTCTTGTTTTGTGTTGTGGTGTTTGCAATAGATGAGGGATTCACACTACTTACCAAGGATGAGGCATTCTTGTTTCGCTCAGTTATGTTGCTAACTGTGTCATTTTTAGGGAGAATCATAGTGACATTTGAGGAAGTAAAAGTATTCTTATCAGGGAGGATAGGTGAAGTCTTATTACTACTAACGCTCTCAAGCTCAGACGTCTCATATTCAGTCTCATTCAGAGATTCGCTGTCCTCTTCACTCTCAAAATAATTCTCGTTCAAAATTACATCTGAAGTGGAATCACTTTCCTCATTCAAAATTCCTGTTGTAAAATCACTTTCCTCATTTAAAATTCCTGTTGTAGAATCACTCTCATCATTCAAAATTCCTGTTGCAGAATCGCTCTCTTCATTCAAAATTCCTGTTGAAGAATCGCTTTCTTCATTCAAAATTCCCGTTGAAGAATCGCTCTCTTCATTCAAAATTCCTGTTGAAGAATCGCTTTCTTCATTCAAAATTCCTGTTGAAGAATCGCTCTCTTCATTCAAAATTCCCGTTGAAGAATCGCTCTCTTCATTCAAAATTCCTGTTGAAGAATCGCTCTCTTCATTCAAAATTCCCGTTGAAGAATCGCTCTCTTCATTCAAAATTCCTGTTGAAGTAGAATCGCTCTCATCACTCAAAATTCCCGATGAAACAGAATCCCTTAAATCATTCAAATAATCTTTGAAGAATGTTTCCATATCTTTATTCTTAGGGAATGTGTCACTATCACCAAAAGCAGAGTTATCATCTAAGGTTACTGGGGAATAATCACCATCATTGCTATAATCAAAGAAGCCTGATTCGTCTCTTTTGTTCTTACAACCAAGGATGTCCTTATCCAACCATTTAGGATATCCTTCATCATTTACAGAGTCAAAATGATCCAAAGGGACTCTTTCATTACGTACCAAGGCAAATTTTCCATCATCTTTCAAAATGGTTTTTTCATCTGTTTCTAACGGTGATTTATCATCAGGCTTTAAGGAGCCTTTTTCAATCGGGTCTGATGGAGCCTTTTCAGCCGGTTTTGAGACCTTTTCATCCGGGTTTGATGGTACCTTTTCATCCGGGTTTGATGGGACCTTTTCATCCGGTCTTGAGACCTTTTCATCCGGGTTTGATGGGACCTTTTCATCTGATTTTGAGGGGACTTTTTCATCTGGCTTTGAAGGGACCGTTTTATCCGGTTTGAAGACTTTGACTTCAGGTTTTACGGAGCACTTCTCTTCTGGTTCTACAACTTTATCAGGTTTCAAGGGTGCATGTTCTTTTACTAAACCTGCATTTTCAGATCTGCAACCAAAACAAAATTAATAAACAATTTCTTAAAAATGCTGTATATAAATACACCTGATTACTTAACCTTTAATCTGTGTCTGACATACAACGCACACCTTTAAATGTGCCTCAGAAAATCGTAATGAGTGCAAACAAACAATAAACTAGCCACTTCGGTGGCAAAATCTAATTTAAAAACAAACCACGGTTTTTAGTTTAATATTTCTATGAAATTCAGTCCAAAACACACTATATGGCTTCAACCTAGAATAATTCAATCAAGTCAGTGTGGCTCATTTCCATGTTTCAAGAAGTATTACACCTTGAAACAATTGTAATATAATATTTTTTAGTACAGTGTTAGAAGACAAAACCAACCATTAGATATAAGAAAAAAATATAGTGAATATTGCAATTAAGGTTATTTAGTGCTATGCATTTCCACAGGTTTCAAGTATTAAAACATCTTGAAACACCCATTATCCTAATAGTGTATATAATGTTCAACACTGATTAAAAAAATAAGAGCAAATAAATTAGAAAAATACCCGAAGTACTATGAAGCATATTTATGGCGATGTTTGCCAATTTCAACCCAAAAAAATTTTAAGTATCCTTTCGAGTTCAGTTTTCCTTTCGTTATTCAATTTAGAAAATAGGCTTTCATACAAAAAAAATAAAAATTTTGCCACACACAAATCTTTATTTCTACGTCTGCTGGAATTTAAGGGTTAAAATATGCATTAAATTAATCCAAACATGTAGCCTTAACTAGTTTTCATATTATGCAGTAGAAGAAACCAGTTTGAGCTAATTAAGGTAAACCTAAACCAGGTTTTCATGGGTGAACATCAGACGCATCCTCATCTTCTCAATTTTATGTAATACAGTACAATACATTATTATTATTATATTATTATAAGAGTGCTAAACCTACTAGGGTCAAACAGCGCTACAGGGCAAGGAGGGATGCAGGATCAATGGATAGGCAAGGGTGGAGAGGACAACATAGGCAGAGTCAGGAAGGGATGTGAGGAGTGTTAAAGGAAATATTATCGAAGTTTGTGCAATAAATCGGTTGCTGTCAAGAAGTCAAAGAGGGAGTCTGTGTCAAAAGTGGGACCGTCAACAAAGAGGGAAGATAGAGTAAGAGTGAAAATAAATGGTATAAAATACCGACACAATGGAAACAAACACATATGCGGTTTAATGTGATCCTTTATTGACAACGTTTCACCCACACAGTGGGCTTTTTCAAGTCACACACAGATCTACCTGGGGTGGAAGGTACAGGAGTATTTATAGTCATGTTCAGAATGTTGAGGTCAGGTGGAGAATGCCGCATCTGATGATCTACCGGGTGGGGTTATAGAGTCTTGGGTAGCTTGGCAGGGGTATTGAACAAGTTGTGAGTAGACCTTCTGCAGTGTTCTATGTTCTTATGTGGGATAGCGATGAAGAAGTTTCTTGGCGAGTGGTTCAGCTATGTTATAGAAGCCGTTGTTCTGGTTGAAATTGTTGGTTATAGAGATAAGCGATTCCAGGATTCTTCGGTATTGAGTGTTGTCTTCTGTGGCGATAAGTCTTGAGTTTCTGTAGTTAATTAAATGGTTGTGTGAATTGCGATGTTGTACACAGGCATTCCTTGTATCGCAGTCCTGCTTGCATATTGGTGTTCTGAAATACGTGTTTGGAGGTCTCTTGATGTTTCGCCCACATATAATTTGTTGGTCATTACAAGGGATTATGTATACCCCTGCAGAGGATGGAAGCTTGTCCTGTCTACTACTGGTGATGTCCTTGATGGTCGTGGTTGTGAGGTAGATACTTGGAATGATGTATTGGAAAAGATGTTGGAAATATGTTTGGCAATGGAGTTGGTGGGGAGGACTATGTATCTCTTCTCGGCAGTGTCTTCTCTGGGTGTGTTGAAGATGTTTAATGCCCGCCGTCTGCAGTCTCTGATGAAGTGACGAGGATAGTGGAGTTTAGAAAATATTTGTTCAATTATAGTGCATTCTTCCTCAAGGAACTCATTGCTGCAGATTCTGAGTGCACGCAGGAAGAAGCCTATAATTACACCACGTTTAGTTTTGGTGTCGTGGTGAGAGTAGAAGTGGAGAAGATCGTTTTGGTTGGTTGGTTTTCGATAGACTTTAAAACGAAGTTCATGGTCAGTTTTGCAGAGGAGAACATCAAGGAAAGGAAGAGTGTTGTCGACTTCTTCTTCAAGTGTGAACTGGATTGAGGGCTCGACCTGGTTGAGCTTGTCTTGGAGAGCTTGAACGTTGAAGCGCCTGGGAGTTGAGGAGAATGTCGTCAACATAACGGAGCCAGGTGACAGTCGAAGATGCGGCATTCTCCACCTGACCTCAACATTCTGAACATGACTATAAATACTCCCGTACCTTCCACCCCAGGTAGATCTGTGTGTGACTTGAAAAAGCCCACTGTGTGGGTGAAACGTTGTCAATAAAGGATCACATTAAACTGCATATGTGTTTATGTTTCCATAGAGTAAGAGTGGAGGTAGAATATGACAAACCAAAATTGGAACCTGACAATTCTCAAGAGTGGGCCAGGGCACCTCTCCATGTGATACCCATGAGTGTGACGGGTGTGCCCGATCCGAAGATAGCAGTGTAGTCTCCCAACCTCGGCATCGATGGTAAGAAGGCCTGAGACCTAAACTTGGTTTGATAGAATGTAATTTATGAGTCATATTGGACTAATGTCGTTAACAACGGTTGCGAAGACGGCTAGAGATTACAAAAAAATAATCTGAGAATGGAAGACCTCTGTGAAATTGGGAGATCATGTACTGTGGACCGTGCAAGCACACACTGCCTGCTCACTGCCCTGAATATCCACACGATCAGGGACCCAACAGAAAACAACATCTTTGTTTTTGCTGGAAATGCAGTGTAACCAAAGTTGTATACGAAGAACTAGGGGATGAGGTGAAGCAAATTTCTGAATAGCTTACAAAGCACTATGGAAGTCTGAGTCTACTACAAATGTCGAGGTAGGCATAGATGCAATATGGATAACTGCAATGAGAACTGCACATAATTCAGCAGTGAAAATGCTAGCCGAGTCTAATAAATGCTCTCGCACTACGCTGTCCGGGAATACTGCTGCAAACCCGACACCATCAGAAGATGAGTTGAGACACATGTGCAACATCTGGATATCTTTATTGTAGACGTTTCGCCATCCAGTGGCTTTATCAATACAGATTCAAGGACATAATTGGAAGACAGTAGAGCTATATACAAAAGATGAGGTAATCAGTCCCTCAGCCAAGGCTGAGGGACTGATTACCTCATCTAGGGACTGATTACCTCATCTTTTGTATATAGTTCTACTGTCTTCCAATTATGTCCTTGAATCTGTATTGATAAAGCCACTGGATGGCGAAACGTCTACAATGAAGATATCCAGATGTTGCACATGTGTCTCAACTCTCATATTGTCGGTATTTTATACCTTTCTTGCGCACCATCAGAAGATTCAGAACCGTCAGTGTACACTGCGACGGCATGAGAATGAGACCGGAAGTGGTTAAGAAAAAATTGGGCTTTCGAGCATGGCAGTGGGGAAAAACAGATACGAACTGTTGGAGCCCCTCAAGGGGAGTGTGAAGTCAGAAGCTAAGTGAACATATAAAGGGGGCAAGTGAAGACGAAGAGAAAAGGGACAGAGTAAACAGGGGCGGCGAACAAATGATGGACCTCTGCTAATGTCAGTTACTGTCCTGTATGTGGAAGAATCGTGAAGGTCACGAGAGCGAACAAAATAGAGGCAATGAGAATCACGACGATCGTTCAAGGATGGAACATTTGCTTCTGCACAAAGCTCTCGACAAGTGAGGAGCGAAAAGCACTTAGACATAAATGTAATCCCTGATAATGGATGGGATCAAGTTTAGAAAGAGTTGCAGGAGAGGCCGCAGGCTATATCTGGCTACCATAATCTAGCTTCGATAAAATTTGGGCTGAATGCAGTCGAAGGAGTTCGACGATCCCCCTCCATGAAAGATGTGAGAGGGTTTTAAGGAGGTTCAGCAGGCTATGGCAAGTTGCTTTCAGGAAGGTAATGTGAGGTTTCCAAGACTTAGTTTAATATGTTTATTATGCACCCCATATCCATCCTGTGGGCGGTAGTCAAAAGATTACAAAGCTACATAATGAATCCAGGGACTGGGCCCCAAAGTTATGATAGCTGAGCAAGTTACAAAGATAATGAACTCTAGGTAGTTCTGGTCACAATCATGACAAGTTTCCAAGACAACCGGCGATCAAACAGTAGGCATAGAAACCTGACAGTATCACGTTCAGGGATACGCGAGCCATACAGGTACAATGGAGTATCAGGGACGGCTGAACGTTTGATGAAAGTAATTTGGTGTGTTTTAGCACTAGAAAATTTAAACCCATAAGTTGTAGCCCAATGGGAAACACGGTTAACAATATTCAGGAGCGAGGCTGCTACAAGGCACAGTAAAACATTAATTTTAATAAAAAGGTGGATAAAACACCTAATCCCGCTCCACATTTAGGTATACTCAACTTTTTAACTTTGCACTGACTGATGTGAGATACATGTATATTTGGATTTACAACACATCCTCGTTAAGTAAGAAAACAAAAGCATAAGAATTTTTCAGTGTGGCCACAGCAAAATCAGCTTCCCAACTCATTACTGCTTAACTAGCAGTAGTGTCTAGCAGTTTCTACGAGTGATCATGTTTGAAACCAAGTATTGGAACATATGAGCTCAGTCATAACCAGAATCTTGGGAAAGGGTTGCCCTCTTTTTTTCACCAATACTGTATCAATATATTTTCCAATTACTGCCTCAAAATCCTAAACTCACCTGTTGAAGATACTTTCTAGCTTCAAGTGAATTCTTTTAAAAATGTCCATTAACTTCAATGTTGGGCCAGTAGTGGTTGTGTTCATTGCTGTTACATTGCCTTCACTAGAAACCAACCAATTTTGTGCAGTCAGACAAGCGGCTGCTAAACACAAGATCACCCTGCAAAAAATATCAAGCTCATATACCTGACATCCTGCAATTTCTAAAATTTGGGGAATTCCGCACTTTCAATAAATATTTTAATGATTGTACAAGGTAAATCATTCCTAAGACTATTACTCTGATATTAGTATATATACCTGTACTTATGTTAAAAAAGTACAAAACCGCATACATACTTTTTTTGATACATTTAAACAGTAAAATAAAAATATCAGGATATACAGTAAATACAGAAAAAATATCTCGCCCTCTTCAGTATATATCGTGACTTATCAGATACAATATTTTAACATTAGTCAGTGGGTGGTCAAAACTGAATCCCTATTATAATGTGAGCCCTTCATAATTAATATTTTTTTATTATTAAAATCAATCAGTTTCCATCCATGATTATAAAGGAACAAATTTTAGTCTGGTTCCAGTGTCTATAGGCAATAAATCACAAGATAACAAACAGAACATACAAATTAATATTGAGTCAGCAACGGGTTACAGGATGCTGCAGTTTGTATAGCAAAATTTGCCAAGTATCTAAGATGCATGTCTCCCTACTGGTAATGTGGAATTATGTGGGATATTCCTCCAACTTGAAAATTGTGCTTCACTCTGTTGACCAGAAAAATCTATATGGTATTGATGATGGACTAGAAATTAGTAAGATATTTATGGCTGGCTTAAGCTAGCATGGAAGGTTAGCTGCAGCCAGTGGTGGGCAGAGGATGGGGGGCATCCAATTGGAGAGGGAAATAAGATAGTGATTTTGAAATTTCAGCAGTTATAAATAAATTTTTGGAGGCTCACCGCACTACAGGGGCAGTGGTTAGCCCTTTATTCCTTTAACATTGTGTACCCTTTCTGCCCAGAGAAAATGGTGCCCCCAAATTGAAGATGAACAAGAAAGAAATTAAAAAAGGAATGTTCAGACTTTGCAAATTATGATAATGATGTGGCAGCCATTCAGTTACATGACAAAATTATTGATTTGGTAATGCTCCTTCGAGTTGGAGGGAATAGAATTCCCCCTGATCCTAAAGATGCTCTGGAGTCTTTACTGCAGTATGGGAGGGATGTCTCTCCGACGCTGTGTTTCATACAGATTACTCTTACAATCGCATTTTCAGTCGCAAGTTGTGAAAGGTCAGTTTCAAAATTGAAATTAATAAAAATATATCTGAGGTCTTGACTGTCACAGGAACGACTGACCAACCTGGCTTTAATAAGCACTGAAAAAGAATTTCTCACAGCTGATGTAAAAAGTGAAGTAGTTCAAGTGTTTTCTGACAAGAGGTATCATTTGGGGAAAATAACTTAATAAATTTGGTTGATTTATATTTAAATCGAATAAAGTGTTTATTTCATGTTTCATCTGTGTTTACATATTCAAAATATCTCCCTTTCTCATAATATTTCTCAGTACATACTAAGCCTTATACTCGAGTCTTTGGGGCATACAATCAATGAGTTGGCCCCGGGCATCACCAGACCTCTGCACGCCACTGGCTGCAGCTAGATTAGATTTTGCCACCGAAGTGGCTAGTTTATTGTGCACCCCATATCCATCCTGTGGATAGTAGCGCAAGAGCATATGGATACACAAAAGGCCCAGGAACTAGGCCCCAAAGGGCTAAAATGAATACATATGGATTTATATCAACATATCTATAGTTCACTTATCTGTTTAAAAAATGAAAAAAAAAAAAAAAAAAAAAAAACTGGATCTCAATAGTGACTAAACCACAATACCAACCTCAGGTGTTTTACTGTCCCTCAAAAGCTAGGGTAGGATTATACAAGGGAAGTTCCAGCACTAGACAACCAGTGTTTTAGCCTGTCATATTTGCTGACAGGCATTCAATAAAATCATTGTACTTTTATGTATCTTCTTTATCAAACAAATTTAAAAAAAAAATACAAATGTTTTTACAAACTGAACTCATAATGGTGTATATATATATATATATATAAAAAAAAAAAAAACTTGCAACCCTGTATATTATTACCCGCCTTGTTACTTAGGCGTAATCTACATAACAAACATTTACGAACTGCAGTTCAAAGATTAGCTACTGGGTTAAGCCCTGGTACTATCCTTTCCACTCATAACCTTCCTCTCACCAGCCTACTTTTCCATAACCTTCCTCTCACCAGCCTACTTTTCCACTATCTCCTCTTCCCCGCTCACCCCACTATGGTCTTACGTGTACTCTCCTGTCGTGTCTTGCAGTTCAAAGAGTGGAATAACGACTACAGCTTCTTAAACAGATTCGAGTGAAACTACTGCTCACACTAGTATTTAACTATTACATCTACTGGATCAAATGTCAAATTAAAAAAGTATCTTTACAGTACTCGTTCTTTAATTTGCGGCAATTAAAAAAAAAGAGAAATGCAGGTACTTTATCCAGTTTCTAATCGAACTGGATAATACAAGAAAGACACTTTAATTTACAAAAGAAAATATGTAAACACTTATAATTACGGTATACTGGTTAAATGGTATTTATGAAAATAATTTTTATTGTCGAATTGAAGAGGAATGCTAAGTGAAATATGATAACTTTCTAATTAACTTTCTTCAGCACTCAGTATATAAAATTTATATTCTTTTCCTAATACAAATATGTATGTGCTCTACCAAGGCATAACATGACTGGAGTCATAACCACGCTAATATAATTTTGAGTTATAAGACAAATTTATAAACTTAAAAAAATAGCTTACAAATGAATCTGAAGAAAGATGAAGAGGGAGGATACAAACTTTTAAATCCCTTATCATAATGAACCGAGTCACTAAAAAAAAGTATAGTCACAAGATCCCTGGAATACACATGTCACTACTAGACTAAGGCTAAAGTAGCTGTAAATGCTATAGTGATGCCAACAAGCTGTGGCTCGAGACACAGCTTGTACCTAGTAGTAAGTATCCTCATCCAATACATGCCATGAACAATAAATATTATTTTTACCCACAGACTGTAAGTACAGTACCTTTAAAACAGTTTAGCATTTATGGAGCTCAATCGTAAGCGATGTAAAGTGTAGTCAGACAAGGCTACACACTAGAATGCTCCTGGATTACATAGAAAATCTATCTTTAAATTGTCCTTATATATTTTGGGTAAGCGCTAAACTCGTATAGGTCATACATTATATTATGAGCGCTAAACCCGTGTGGGCCATACATCACCTGGAGAATGAGAGGTAATCAGGTCTGATCCAAGGAAGTGAAGATTATGTCCAATTTCTTGGATCAAGTGCCTTTCATCAGCACCATGGCCCTTCCAATGAGGGGGGAGAGGTCAACTCATTTGGAGTCTAAAGATAAGTCCAGGAAAGAGTAAGTATAATCATTGTTAATGATGAGATATATGAAATTCTAACAGTGAATCCATTGTATATAAATTATATAAATTTAATATACGAATGCAGAGATGAATTAATTTTTTTAATATAATACCAATCGATTTGGCTTGATCCAGAACATCAATATTACAGTAGTTTGTTCTACTGTTGTTAACATCAAACCCTTAATGTTAACAAAGTAACATTATTATATTCACGGAGAATCCAGGTAGTCAATATTAGGAAGAAAAAAAATATTGAAATTTTGCAAAGTTCCGACTCGCTTAAAAACTTATCTCAAAGTGACTTAGAATTCCTAGCCTTGGAATTACACTTGTAATTACTTATCTCAATACCACTCGTTACTGAAGTGGGTCCAAGGAATTGGACCTGCTCTTCTACCTTGGATTAAACCGGAATGCCTCCTAGTCCACGGACTCTATAACCCCTACCGGTTTAGTACTCCCCTCCTAAATATAATAATACTGGATTGTAACTGCCAGGGCGAACTTCAAGCCAACTATCATTAAATTTAGAGCAGTGCTGAACCTGCTGGGGGGGGGGGATGGAGAACACTCAGGTTCAATCCAAGGAACACGGCAAGTCCAATTTCTTGACACAAGAGCACTTCCTCATCATCAGCGTAAAAGATTTATTTATTTATTATATTCATGTGGAAGCGCTAAACCCGTAGGGGGGTCATACAGCTCCTGGAGATCAGCCTGAAGGAACCTTCCTGGAGGAGAACTTCCAGCCAAGAAGCGCCACGCAGTATCTCTACAATTTACAACACTATCCTCCAAAATAATAACCAGTAGTCGACCACAAGACACGCCGCCAACTCTACCGGACATGAATTAATGCTTACTTCATGGTAACCATGTTGCAAGTCGTCCTAAAAACGGGAAATATGAGTGTGAGAGATCACGTGGGTGTTCCCTACAGGAGACGCCACACTGCAGAGGCAACACAAAGCGTCGACTTAAAACAATAATTCCTTATCTCTTTCATTATTTTTATTAACACATAATTTGTAATATATTTGCGATTTACATTTTATTAAAATATTTTTTTAAGAACATTAACATTTCGAGAGTAAACGACAAAAGCTTCATTTGAAGTCGAGGATTGACCATGTCTCTGAGAAGATAGACAGGATATATTATACAGGCAGACAGGATATACTGTACAGGCAGACAGGATATACTGTACAGGCAGACAGGATATACTGTACAGGCAGACAGGATATACTGTACAGGCAGACAGGATATACTGTACAGGCAGACAGGATATACTGTACAGGCAGACAGGATATACTGTACAGGCAGACAGGATATACTGTACAGGCAGACAGGATATACTGTACAGGCAGACAGGATATACTGTACAGGCAGACAGGGTATACTGTACAGGCAGACAGGATATACTATACAGGCAGACAGGATATACTGTACAGGCAGACAGGATATACTGTACAGGCAGACAGGACACATTGTACAGGCAGACAGGATATACTGTACAGGCAGACATGATATGCTATACAGGCAGACATGATATACTGTACAGGCAGACAGGATATACTTTACAGACAGACAGGATATGTTGTACAGGCAGACAGGATATACTGTACAGGCACACAGGATATACTGTACAGGCAGACAGGATATACTGTACAGGTAGACAGGATATACTGTACAGGCAGACAGGATATACTGTACAGGCAGACAGGATATACTGCACAGGCAGGCAAGATATACTGTACAGGCAGGCTGGATATATTGTACAGGCAGGCAGGATATACTGTACAGGCAGGCAGGATATACTGTACAGGCAGGCTGGATATACTGTACAGGCAGACAGGGTATACTGTACAGGCAGACAGGATATACTATACAGGCAGACAGGATATACTGTACAGGCAGACAGGATATACTGTACAGGCAGACAGGACATATTGTACAGGCAGACAGGATATACTATACAGGCAGACATGATATGCTATACAGGCAGACATGATATACTGTACAGGCAGACAGGATATACTGTACAGGCAGACAGGATATGCTGTACAGGCAGACAGGATATACTGTACAGGCACACAGGATATACTGTATAGGCACACAGGATATACTGCACAGGCAGACAGGATATACTGTACAGGCAGACAGGATATACTCTACAGGCAGACAGGATATACTGCACAGGCAGGCAAGATATACTGTACAGGCAGGCTGGATATATTGTACAGGCAGGCAGGATATACTGTACAGGCAGACAGGATATACTGTACAGGCAGGCTGGATATACTGTACAGGCAGGCAGGATATACTGTACAGGCAGGCAGGATATACTGTACAGGCAGGCAGGATATACTGTACAGGCAGGCAGGATATACTGTACAGGCAGGCAGGATATACTGTACAGGCAGACAGGATATACTGTACAGGCAGACAGGATATACTGTACAGGCAGACAGGATATACTGCACAGGCAGGCAGGATATACTGTACAGGCAGGCTGGATAACTGTACAGGCAGGCAGGATATACTGTACAGGCAGGCAGGATATACGTACAGGCAGACAGGATATATGAAAAGCAGACAGATTATGTACAGGCAGACAGATATACTGTACAGGCAGACAGGATATACTGTACAGGCAGGCAGGATATACTGTACAGGCAGACAGGATATACTGTACAGGCAACGGAATCTCCACAGCAGGCAAGATATACTGTACAGGCAGGCTGGATATATTGTACAGGCAGGCAGGATACACTGTACAGGCAGGCAGGATATACTGTACAGGCAGGCTGGATATACTGTACAGGCAGGCAGGATATACTGTACAGGCAGGCAGGATATACTGTACAGGCAGACAGGATATACTATACAGGCAGGCAGGATATACTGTACAGGCAGACAGGATATACTGTACAGGCAGGCAGGATATACTGTACAGGCAGGCAGGATATACTGTACAGGCAGGCAGGATATACTGTACAGGCAGGCAGGATATACTGTACAGGCAGGCTGCATATACTGTACAGGCAGACAGGATATACTGTACAGGCAGGCTGGATATACTGTACAGGCAGGCAGGATATACTGTACAGGCAGGCAGGATATACTGTACAGGCAGGCAGGATATACTGTACAGGCAGACAGGATATACTGTACAGGCAGGCAGGATATACTGTCACAGGCAGGCAGGATATACTGTACAGGCAGGCGGATATACTGTACAGGCAGGCAGGATATACTGTACAGGCAGACAGGATATACTGTACAGGCAGGCGGATATACTGTACAGGCAGGCAGGATATACTGTACAGGCAGGCAGGATATACTGTACAGGCAGGCAGGATATACTGTACAGGCAGACAGGATATACTGTACAGGCAGACAGGATATACTGCACAGGCAGGCAAGATATACTGTACAGGCAGGCTGGATATATTGTACAGGCAGGCAGGATACACTGTACAGGCAGGCAGGATATACTGTACAGGCAGGCTGATATACTGTACAGGCAGCAGGATATACTGTACAGGCAGGCAGGATATACTGTACAGGCAGGCAGGATATACTGTACAGGCAGGCAGGATATACTGTACAGGCAGGCAGGATATACTGTACAGGCAGGCAGGATATACTGTACAGGCAGGCAGGATATACTGTACAGGCAGGCAGGATATACTGTACAGGCAGGCAGGATATACTGTACAGACAGGCTGCATATACTGTACAGGCAGACAGGATATACTGTACAGGCAGGCTGGATATACTGTACAGGCAGACAGGATATACTGTACAGGCAGGCAGGATATACTGTACAGGCAGGCAGGATATACTGTACAGGCAGACAGGATATACTGTACAGGCAGGCAGGATATACTGTACAGGCAGGCAGGATATACTGTACAGGCAGGCAGGATATACTGTACAGGCAGGCAGGATATGCTGTACTGGCAGGCTGGATATACTGTACAGGCAGGCTGGATATACTGTACAGGCAGGCAGGATATACTGTACAGGCAGGCAGGATATACTGTACAGGCAGGCTGATATATCTAGGGAAGCAGGATATACTGTACAGGCAGGCAGGATATACTGTACAGGCAGGCTGGATATACTGTACAGTCACGCTGGATATACTGTACAGGCAGGCAGGATATACTGTACAGGCAGGCAGGATATACTGTACAGGCAGGCTGGATATACTGTACAGGCAGGCAGGATATACTGTACAGGCAGGCTGGATATACTGTACAGTCACGCTGGATATACTGTACAGGCAGGCAGGATATACTGTACAGGCAGGCAGGATATACTGTACAGGCAGTGATACTGTACAGCAGGCAATATACTGTACAGGCAGGCTGGATATATGTAAGCAGGTGGATATACTGTAAGGCAGGCAGGATATACTGTACAAGCAGGCAGGATATACTGTACAGGCAGGCAGGATATACTGTACAGGCAGACAGAAAACATTATACAGAGAGAGGCAAAATACATTAATACTGTGAGTCACTAATTAAAATATCACACTATGTTAGACATAAAATTGTAAAATTTGCAGCTACACACTTGCATCTCACTCTCTGTCGTCGTCGCTACACACTTGCATCTCACTCTCTGCCGTCGTCGCTACACACTTGCATCTCACTCTCTGCCGTCGTCGCTACACACTTGCATCTCACTCTCTGTCGTCGTCGCTACACACTTGCATCTCACTCTCTGTCGTCGTCGTATTAACGAGACACTTCTGAGGATTTGGGAAGTTATCTGCGCCATTCCAGGATGCCTGGAATGGGCTCAATAACTTTGGTCATAGCGCACGTGAACATGTCAGTTATTCTAAGAGTCTAGTCCTCATTACCATACTTATGCGTTGAAAATTTGAAACCGTTTGGATGAGGCGTTCTCGAGTTATGAGCTAAATAAAATCGAAAAGTTGGAATAAGAAAAAACAAATCAGACACCCTTTTAATGGTCTTCCTTCAGAGATGCCTAAAAAATGAAAAGTATTATCAAATGTTATTAATTTACTTGCCAATAATTTTTTTTAGGCACAAGGCAGCAATAAAACTAAGTTTTCATTTTCCATAAATGTGGAGTTTTATAAAATCGCCGTAACATATATGCTAATACACACTAAAGTTTATAGTATTTTTGGATTATTTATGATAGATGAGGATGAATTTGAGTAATTGTTCCTCCTAAGTACACTATATGTCTTATCTAGCAATCAATTTTTGCGCAATAAATTATCCCATAATCAAGTACAGTAAATCACTATATACAATTAGAGCGGAAAATATTTAGCGTTTTCCATACTCCGCAGAGAGAAAATTCGAGGCAGTCAAATCAAATTGTTCCATTTGTCCATATTGCCAACATTATTTTGCTTTAAGATTTAAAGGCCACAGTAATCAGGTGTAAGCTCTGTCCTCTACCTGTATATTCACTCTTAGGAATGCTTTGCTTATGTCAGCCGTAAAGGCGCATTTTTTTACTCTGAAATTGAGATGTCTCCTTTTTTTTCGTTCGGACAAGGGTCATTCATGTTATTCCCTCGCACTGTAGTTGAATCCAGTTCTTCAGGTTATGGTCCTTGAATCTTTTTTGACATCACATATATGAGTCTCATCTGAAGGAACTTCGTCTATGAACTAATGTTATCTAGATTAAGACACTTATGCAACATATGGGAATCTTTATTGAAGAAACGTTGCGCCACACAGTGGTTTCATCAGTCCAATACAAAGCGGAAAGGTGTAAGGAGAGAAGGAGTTTGAGGTATTCAGTCCCTCAGCCTGCAGTCGATGTGTTTAGTCCATCATTCTTGTAGAAAGTACAGAATAGGGCCAGAGAAGTGGCTTATATACTGTAGTCAGGCGAGTCGAAGCAGGAAGAGGCGGGATCACAGTAGAACCATCCACTAGTGTAAGTAGGTCTTCAT